GATGATGAAGATGGTGATGATGATGATGATGGTGATGATGAAGATGATGGTGATGATGATGCAGATGGCGATGATGAAAATGATGGCGATGATGAAGATGGCGATGAAGATGGTGATGATGAAGATGATGGTGATGATGAAGATGGTGATGATGATGATGATGATGATGAAGATGGTGATGATGAAGATGATGGTGATGATGATGCAGATGGCGATGATGAAGATGATGGCGATGATGAAGATGGTGATGATGATGATGATGATGATGATGATGGTGATGATGAAGATGATGGTGATGATGATGCAGATGGCGATGATGAAGATGATGGCGATGATGAAGATGGTGATGATGATGCAGATGGCGATGATGATGATGATGGTGTTGGTAATGATGATGAAGATGGTAATGATGATGATGTACAACTTTTAACAATAACAGGCAACATGATACCGGTTTATGGAGCTCTGTGTGTGTGTGTGTGTGTGTGTCTATGTGTGTGTGTACGTATATGTGTCTACGTGTGAGTGTGTGTGTCTAATGAAATTCAAAGTCAGCATAAACGGTTCCTTTCGGGGACCTGCACAAACCTACACCATACACATCATCTACATACATACAGTACATACATCCATAGGCTCCAGAAACCTTATCATACCACCCACGACCTCGTCAAGTAATCCCTCCATAGGACACTCACTGAAGGTAATATGTTAATGTAAACACAATCTCCAACACGGTAGACAAGCGATTAAGTAAACAAAGCCTCCTTGCTTCTCATTCAATATGGGTCACACTCACTCGCTATACTACACAAAGAATCAGCCTTATTGTTCATGTGGATGGTCATTATTTTGCCCCCATCAGAGATTTATGGGCCTCACGACAGGTGCAGTAAGACAATTAAAATGATTAATTCCATAAAATGAGACATTATAGCCGTAATAGTCCATTTTGTTGCTGGTGAACTACCCGGCACAGTAAGGCTGGTTGATTGGCACACGACAATGGGATTTACGGCCATCAGTTTATCTCTCTGGAATAACACTATCTTATACCCCAGAGGCATCAATTTCTTTCCAGGAAGGTGTGTGGGGCCCTAAGGAGTGGAGGTAAGCATTCTATGTTAAATAATGTTAGTCAATGTTAGTGAATATATGTCCCGTGATGTTAAATTAACCACACGAACACACATACACACATGAAAGAACATATTCATTACCTAAGTAGCAAATAAAAGTCAATTATAAAGAGCAATTTATCATACTTTTGCATAATTGAGTCTAATTTAGTCACGTTTTTCTGTACTTCGACCTGCGTAATTACATTTAAAGTCCATCTATTTCAACCACTGTGTTAATTATCCTTATTTGGTTGATAGTTTGTGTTCGTTTTGTTACTTTACGTTGGTTAGGATATATCAAGTGTTAATTTCCCATTTTTATTGGTCGAGTTGTCGACCTTAAGGAGTTATTTTGGTCTGTTTATTTCTTCTTTATGTTTATTCTTTAGCATAAACACACACACACACACACACACACACACACACACACACACACACACACACACACACACACACTACTTAATGAAGATCATATCCATTTAAACTGTAGGTAAACAAAGCTAGTAACGGGCACTATTATATACAGTACTGGAAATAATGTCTACTTTCATGTAACTTTTAATTAATACTTTTGAATGACTTAATTCGATATATAAGAAGCATGGTGGTGCTGTCTGATTGTCTGTCTGTATTTCTGTGATGGTTTTATCGGAACACGTGAAGATTAGCCTTCCTCAGCTTGCCTGAGATTAGGTTAGGTTAGGTTAGGTTAAGTTAGGTTAGGTTAGGTTACCGTCTATAATTATTAGGTGAAAAAACTGGGGTGTCTAATCTTAATGTGGTCCACAAAGTTTACCAGTTAAAGGTAGGACAAATATACTGTAAATACCGAGAGTAAAAAATCTGAAGAAGACACAAGACAGCTTAGTAAACAAGAACAAACTCACAGCTCTACTCCCCTACTCAGCTGGGACAATGTGTGGGGTGGGGATGGGATGGGTGGGTGGGGTGGGTGGGTGGGTGGGTGGGATTTTTTTTTTGTAGAGAAAGGAGGGGTGAAAGATTGGAGGTGGGGGAAGGAAATTATAGTTCGGAAATTGAAGAAATTTAAGAAGAGGTAAGAGAGGGCGAGCTGACCGCCCAGCTAAGCTAATGGTGTGTTAGGGTTGTGTCATGGGTTAGTTATTGTCTGTCGGTACAGGCACTAGACATCCTACCCTGTCCCATACATGGGTGTTTTGAGGGCCTTATTTCATATTCCGCCGACCCTACTGGCGGATGCTGGTCTTGGGAGGTTGTCTTTTGCCTCGCCGTATAGATGGGGGGTGGTAATGGACCTTTTGAGATTTGGTAACTTTTTGGGAACCATGTATGGTTGTTGTCGTTATCTGGTGGGAGTCTTTGAAGGAGTTCTTGCTCTGATCGTTCTATCTTTTGCCAGACTCTGCTGGCCAGGGTGTGCAGCTGCTGGTTGATGGGTTTCATTCTCAGGTCTCTATGTATCTCGGCTGTGGTTCTGGTGAAGGGGTATCTTTCACCTGTGACGAATCTTAGGGCTTCATTTTGGACCACCTGTAATTTTAATATTTGAGTGGTGCTCATAGTATGAAGAGGTACTGCTGGGTAAGTTAATATCGGTGTGATAAATGATGTCACCAGGCGGAGTTTTATTTTCTCAGGAAGCGCCTTAAAGCGGTATAGTTTTCTCAGCTCTCTTCTTGCCTTTTCCTTCCTGGTGTGGACATGATGGGAGTAACCTGTCGTGGATATATGCAGGCCCAGGAGGGTGCCCCTGCTTTTGTATTCTATCTGGGCATTATTGGTTACTAATGGATGGGTTTTCCTTCTGCATAAGGGCATCACTGTGAATTTCGGGAGACTGGTTTGGATTTTCCATTGTTTTTCGAAACCTTTCTAATTCCCGCCTGGTGTTGTCGACCTGTAACGCTGCGATTTTCCTTGATGTGTTGTTATTTCAGTGATGTCATCTGCATACATAATATCTTCGTTACCTATTCTAGTGGGAGGCGGAGTGTCACTTGTGTAGATAATATATAGGGTGGGAGACAGGACGCTCCTCTGAAGGACTCCGCTCATGAGTGGGAAGGTCTCTCCTGTGTGTTGTCCTACCCTCAGTCTGGCATTTCTGCCATCAAGAAAGTTACAAAGCAACTTTTCGATGTTGGTGGGAAGTCTGAGTTGGAGGATCTTATATTTTAGACCTTCATGCCAGACTTTGTCAAATGTCTTCGCTACATCCCGGAGAGTTAGATTACATTGTCTACCACTCGCCGCGGCTCTGGCTATGTTTTCACATGCCAGGGCTATCGTTGTTGTGGTGGACTTCCCTTTCCTGATCCCGAATTATCTGCAGTTGACTCTGTTGGTTGTTTCCAGGTGATTTCTCAGACGGTTACGGATGATTTTTTCTAGGATTTTTCCAGGTACTTCGAGGAGAGAGATCGGTCTGTAGTTTAGTGGGACGGCGGGGTTCTTTCCTTGCTTTGGTGTTAGGGTAATAATGGCCTCTTTGAATTTAGTTGGGAAGTAACCCGAGGCCAGGCAAGCGTTCATTGTGGTTCTCAGTCCCTCCATGGCCGGGTTGTTTATGTGGCTGATGATCTCCTTGGTGATGGGTTGGTGGGTGGAGATGGGGTGGGGTGGGGTGGGGTGGGCTGGGCTGGAAAGGTGGGTGGTGGATGGGTAGGGTTATATAGTACTTGGTGAGATGACTGGACAAGCACTGAGCAGTCCCAGGTATAATAACTTAATCTAAAAAAAATGCCATAAGACAATGATCGTCAAAGGTAAGTGATGAATTATGATAAAGAAAAATAATCCTAGACGCACCAGATATAAGCTACATATTACCACTATATTATATACTTATTTCCACATATTTTTTTTTTACAAATTGCATATATTTCTAAAATTTTATTTCCGAATTTAGTGAAATTACTTCAAATTACAGTACAACAAATGGTGGGCAATTGGTGTGCTGTTCAACTCTAACGACCAATAATATTATCAATAGTTTCACTGTATCAGCAATAATACAGTTACCATTGATGACTGTCAACACTCACACACAGTCATCTTCATATACATTATTTTTTATCAGAAGAAATTCCACTCTTAGACAGACAATAAACCTGTAATGGTCAACACACATCTGATTGGTCGTAATACCACACTTCATCATCTTATTGGTCGTATATACCACACAGCATCACCTTATTGGTCGTAATACCACACTTCATCATCTTATTGGTCGTAATACCACACTTCATCATCTTATTGGTCGTATATACCACACAGCATCACCTTATTGGTCGTATATACCACACAGCATCACCTTATTGGTCGTACATACCACACTTCATCATCTTATTGGTCGTAATACCACACTTCATCATCTTATTGGTCGTACATACCACACAGCATCACCTTATTGGTCGTATATACCACACAGCATCACCTTATTGGTCGTATATACTACACTTCATCATCTTATTGGTCGTAATACCACACTTCATCATCTTATTGGTCGTATATACCACACAGCATCACCTTATTGGTCGTACATACCACACAGCATCACCTTATTGGTCGTACATACCACACAGCATCACCTTATTGGTCGTAATACCACTCAGCACCAGTGCACATTATATAAGTATATTCATCTTTATAAGTAAGTTTATGAGGATGCCTGTGTTACGAGGGAAGGTGTGTGTGTGTGTGTGTTACGAGGGAAGGTGTGTGTGTGTGTGTGTGTTATGAGGGAAGGTGTGTGTGTGTGTGTGTGTTATGAGGGAAGGTGTGTGTGTGTGTGTGTGTTATGAGGGAAGGTGTGTGTGTGTGTGTTATGAGGGTATGTGTGTGTGTGTGTGTGTTATGAGGGTATGTGTGTGTGTGTGTGTGTGTGTGTTATGAGGGTATGTGTGTGTGTTATGAGGGTGTGTGTGTGTGTGTCAGAAGTGAACTTTTTTGTATTATGAATGTTTAAAAAAAATTGCACAAACATGCGTACATGTGTGCATGTGCGAGCAACCTGCCTGCAGGCATTCAATGATGTGCATGTGTGTTGCGGATATGTTTGTGCATACATGAGTGCGGGCGAGCTTGCTTATTTCCTTGTCTGCAAGTGCCTTTGTTGAGTGCGTGTGTCAATTTCTGGACCAATAGGAGACAAGGGTGTATGATGATATGTAAGAGTGTGTGATGATGTGAAAGGGTGTGTGAAGATGTGTATGAGTGTAAGATGATGTGTAAGGGTTTGTGAAGATGTGTAAGATGATGTGTAAGGGTGTGTGATGATGTGCGAATATTTAATTAATACTATTAATTTACAACAATGAAGGACAGTGTATGAGTGAAGATTTGATGGTGTTTACAGGACTCCAGATACTAACAAACCTAAGTTGGCGGGACAATACAGTACGTCAGTGGCCTCAACTCTACGGCACCATGATAACCCTTAAAGGTAGTGACAGATTTTCTTAAAACTTGGAACTTTCGACAAAATCCATGATCTGATTAAAAGTGATTTGGCGGCCATTTTTACTTCATTAAACTTCTGATAGAGGTGTTCGAGGATATATCGTGTGTTCAACATTAACTCAACACACATACAAATTGTCTCTCGTTCTGTTCCCATACGAGTGTAAGAAACGCCTACAATTTCTCACTAAGGGAACATACTATATCCGTGTTGACGAGTGACAGCCTTCATAAGACATACAGACGTCAACCTTCTCTTAATGGCTGAAGAAGTGTTTTTAAGTTCTAAGTCTTAATCATATAAGCTCAATAGTATTAAAATAGTGATCAATGAGGCATACAACATCTGTTCTAACTTTCACTCTTATGACTTTGAATGTAAATAGAATATGTACATTTTTTTGTGGTGGGGGGGAGGGGAGGTTGTATAAAACGCATATCCAAGTTGTAGTCATTATTGTACACTAATAATTTCCTTAATAATAAATTCATGCCCATTCATAACTATATCAAGGCGTTAAATATATTCAACTTCCATATTTAGGTCCTTGGGGTAATATTAAAACACAAACATTACGAAACGTAGAAAGATTATCTTCCACAGATCAGATGGTTTGTTTACACGAGTCGAGTTCTTACCGTCTGATCTGAGCTCCGGTGTAAGTGACTCTGGAAGCACATGGGCAGATCCTTCCTCAACAGGTTACAAACACACTGGCGTACACCATCAGTGTCACCTCGAGTACACTACCTCGCTTGATCCACCATTCATCTCCACTCCTTACACGGTGAACCTCCTAACACTGGATCTGTTGTTTACATGTGTTTCCAGCCAACACAACAACCACTGTTTACCTACTTCTGGTCTCTACTCCACTTTGTTCACGTAAACATTCGCTCGCCTGTAATACACTTCACATGTTAGTGCTGGTGTAATTACATCTAACTGTATATAAAGAAAACATTTGATAAATTTACAAAAATACACCTTACCTGTAGCAATAGTGTTACATGAGTGTCGTGTATGTGTAGGACATACAAGTCTATATGGGTGTAGCATACATACGTGTATAGTGTAGGTAATTTGCATCACTAGGCCTATATAGTTGTAGTGTAAGTATATATTATAATTTATCTATTAATGTTATTTTTTCCTTCTACATTGTGTCTACATTTTTACTATTTTTCTCCGAGTTTCAGTCCTCCTCTACACAAACACACACACACCTGCCACTTTGACAGAGCTGACTGGTAAGACTTCTGATAACCTTATTCCCACTTTACACGGCACTTCGATATGGTCCCGCCCACTCCTGCTGTCGACAACATTTCATAAAATGCTTATCATCTTAAATCCTAAAAGTCTTTCATCCAGTCTAAAATAATAACCTCCTCTTTCTGAACAGACAAATACCAAAGCTATTCGGTCATTAGCCAAGTAGTTTAACCCACCCTAGTCCTACAACCCATCAGAAATAACGGTTAAAATCGTTATACTTAGTTAGGACTTTCATATCTTTCCTGTCTAGACGTGAATAAAACCCTGAGACCTAGTGGTATCCTTCCTCTTACTCTCTAAAAAATAGGTGTCCGAACTTGTTACTGTCTGCTTGGTTATATTTACCTAATTTGCTCTACTCTTACTGATCCATCCTCTCTTACTGATTCATCCTCTCTGACTGATCCATCCTCTCTGACTGATTCATCCTCTCTGACTGATCCATCCTCTCTGACTGGTCCATCCACTCTAACTGTTCCATCCTCTCTTGGCATCTACATGACTCGTAGGTCTCAACTCAATCATCTCTGTAGTCAGGGATTCTAGTCACAACAGCTACATAAACACCATGAAGAACACCAACTCTTCTCTCACACTCGACAGGATTCCGATTCTAACCGTTCCACCGCAGACTTGCTCACTCGCCCAACTCGACTGTTCTCCCGATATCTTTGGTGAATGTCATCTGGTTGTCCTTGGCATTTCTTAAGTTTCTGACATAGTATGACATCAGACCTTTACCAAACATTCATCTTTTGGGCTTTTTTGTTCCCCTCCAACCACCACTTTTGTGTAGTTTTGGACGGTTCATAATTCAATTCAATTCAATTCAATTCTACTTTCTCACCAATACCGGAGTGCCTCAAGGGTTTAATTCTTGCACCTACTCTCTTTTATCTCCATATCAATGACCTCCGCTACTTCCAGCAACACAAGTTCCTCTGTTGACACCATTAACCACTATTTTGCCCACCGTCAGTCACGTCTTACAGCAGATCTAACTACCATTATATTGAACTAAGTCCTCGAGTACACATCTCGGAGAAGAGATAATATTGTTATATGTATTCAATGTTGCCAAAATTTAACTCTTCCCGTCCCTTGCAAACAAGATAATCTCCATCTTCCACTTGCTTTCAGCAATATTCACATTTTAAGAAACTCCACTATCAATATTATTGATCTTTATATAAGTTTTAAAGTTTCCTTGAAACAGCTATATGTCTAAACTGTCCATACTATATACCCGCCATGTCTGCCCTCATGTAGCGCCCTGCTCCCACGTGTGGGTTGGTGGTCCACATTCTTCTCACTGTTGAACGAGTTACAGGGTAAAAATATTCGCCATATCAACGACCTTCTTATCAGATAGTCCATCTCATTCTCTTTCTTCTGTCATTGTTTCAATTGTAAATGACCAATGAAATATGATCTATTGTTCCCGCCTTTTAGTCCCAGTTGCAACACACACCATTCTATATCATGCCGCCACTACCTCGTGCAAGTTCCTTTGAATCGAACTTCAACATCAATCAGCTTCGGTCTTTGTATTTATGGAATGCCCTGACGTCTCACATATTCCATCCATCAACAACTACAACTCTAATCTTGGTGCATTCACTCATTCTTATTACACAGCTAAGTTGAGTATTTTCATCGTTCTTATCCACGATGTCCTTATCAAGACAAACTTGAGTGTAAACAACATGTGAGTTGCATTACCCTCCAGAGGACACTGTAATGTGTGCCTCCCCTGATCCACCACAGTTAAAAAAACAAAAAACAAATAAGGACTATGTGGGTGTAGTGTGTACCACACAAGGGGTATGTGGGTGTATATGAATATTGAACACCAGAGCAATTTAGGTCTTAGTATTAAACAAAGGTCACATGGATGGGTATGAATACGCTGCACAAAGGCCATGTGGGTGTATGTATGGGTTACACATACTGTTACCACAGCGGTGTGACGGGTATGTTGGAGTGTGGTGGAGAGATGAAGGAGGAAGGTTGAATTTACGCGTGATACAACATTCAACATTTAGATGAGGCGATTTACTTGTACAATACACATTTCTGGATTCAAGAATATTAAGTCGTAAATACAATATAAAATTTATAGCTTCTTCAATAAGCTACTTTTTATATGTATTATAATTATTACTAAACATTTTAAAGTTAATTGTGTGTTTGCATTGTTCCTCCCCTAACATTAGTTAAGATATGTGGTCTAATTTTCTCATTTGAAAAACATATTGCTTGGTTTAATTTGAAACAGCAGGAGAGCTGGGGTAACAGGGCCCCGTGTGCTGTGTTACCTGCCTGGGAACATGATGAAGGCTTCCAATATAATAATCCCACGTTGAAAGGTAAACATACAGTTAAATTTAAAAGGTCGTATTTCTTGTGCTATTTGACATTATCGTAAGAAGCTAACATTATTTACAATCTATTCACAGTCTATAATCTAAAAAATATACTATTAGGAACGCAAAATACTTAATTTACAATATAAAAAGACAAAGCACATTGTAGAGAGACAGAGAAGGTAATCAACACACTCGGACCGTGGCAGAATACGACTTACCGAGGAGAAAACAGAGACTCGACACTGTTAGACTCGGTAACATTAGTTCAGATCTCTTGTTGACAGTAAATTAGTGCCCTTCGTCCGCCTACAAGTCTCCGTCCAACAGTCTGTTATTAAGTAGTGACAGATGAACTTTGTTGGCAGTATCAAACAAGAAGAGCCTAGCTGACACAGTTATCAGAGGATCATTTACAGCCACAGACAACTCTACACAGTTACATTAATTACTTTATAAATTTTATAACTTAGCTGACGTGGACTTTAAGACAGACACGAGAGACAGATACGAACCAAAGAAGGAACGGACGTACGGAAGGACTGATTCACGGAACCAATTACTGTACTGTATCGTCACCAACTTGGCTGAGTGAGGGATAATAAACACACACACACACACACACACACACACACACACACACACACACACACACACACACACACACCACGTGTAACTGAGTCAGTTAGTCAGGCATACACGCTGACGCAAGCATGCACGCATGCACGTGCAAGCACGCACGCGCGCACACACACACGCACCAGTAGCTGTAAAGACCTAAATAATGTCTTGTATAATGAGATAGTAAAGCAATGATGAGTCACATACACCAGTAGTGAAGATGCAGCTAGTATGGGTCAGCATACAGTATGTCAGCTGCAGTTTTGATAGTGAGTGATGTTATCAACACGGGCATGGGAGGATATAGTGCTATACAGTAAACTGTGTCGGGTTGTTAACGTAGATACAATGAAACATGACAATATATCTTTTTGTTTATAACAATATTAAATTAGATTTTAGATCATTATTTTATGTGGATGATGGGAATTAATATTATGAAAACATGTTTCTCGTTAACACTTATTTGTGGACTAACAATAATTCCCTAATTAACTTTAATGGATCATGAAATTGTTCATAAATGAATTGTTACTGAACATAACGCTCGACTGATCATTAGTTTGTAAACAATTTCTTTGGTATTTATTAGACATAATGTCATCGTTTATGAGTTTCATTCAATGAATAAAACGTAACTCACACACAAGTTAAAACAACTTATGCCTCGTGGAAATTAAACACAGATAAAAGGCTTAACAAAAGTGTGTGAGAAGCATAGTAAGAAAACATAGAGTACTCACTACATTAAGAGTTACATATGCATGGTAAAATATTTGTCAGTCATCTTACTGAAATTTCAGGTCACTAATTCTTGCCATTAATAAACCTAGTTTGATATTGATCACTTAATACAAAGGGCAACACAGGATGGGGACAATGTTTACAAAACACTCTAGAGTAAAACCAACAACTTTGGCGAGTCTGTCGAGAAGTGAAGTGATTTTCGTGTTTTATCACAGCAACGCCAGGAGCATGAGCGGTTTTCTACTGTACTGTACATGCTCATCAAAAAATGTTACATGCACTACTTACAAATGTTATTATGTACAAATTTTTCCTCAAGACATGAGTATCCCATGATCTCTTTCTTGTGTTTTAGGATTATAAACTTATTGCAATTTCCCTGTCACAAAGGCGTAATATAAAGTGTATCTTACAGCATTACACTTAACTACAGGAACTGAACTCCTCTTATTTATGGTAAAATTTCCACGGAAATGGCTTGACAGAAACAAACTACTGACCTCAAAAACATGGAATATTGCACATCAAATATGACGAGATACAATGACTCTCTGTCCAAGGACACTCCTTTTACCTCGAGTCTGACTTATAGAATACTGTACTGTATAGTTTTGTCATGCTCAAGAAGTGTCACTGTTAGCTTTTGGTTAAACCTTGGAAGTTTTTTGTTCATTACAAAAACAATTAAGGGAAGCCTAGTGTAAACCAACACCTTTCCCACGGAGGAATGGTAAGTCTACGATGGGGTAATTTTAAAGCCCCTTTAACCCTCTGGTAGATCATTAATTTCCTTTATTTTCTGTAGTGCCCCTGTCACGGTTATGTATGTTGAAGTGATGTTGACTCAACTGTTACTGGGACTCTTGAACAGTTTATGTTATTGTGGCTAAACTGTCAGTCCCGTCACCCTCACAGCAAAATGCTGCTGCTGCCATTACATGCTGTGTTTCACTGCCGCTGCCGTGTCGTGTACAGCGCTTCTGAGAGTCATCATGAATCTTCAGGACAGCAAGTTTAACTGGTATGCCACCTGCGTTCAGTATTACTGAACTGTTTACTGCAGCATGGATGTTCAGTGCAGTGTGATGGTTCACCTGTGCACGATTGTTCATCTGTGCCTGAATATTCTGCAGAGTAAGACTGCTCAGCACCATGTGGTTCTTCAACACCCTGTGAGTGATGAACATACCAAGGGCTTCGTGAACCCTGTGACTCTGTGGTGCACTGCAGGTGTTCGTCATAGTATGACTGCTGACTGTGGCAGGTGTGTGCTGGTGACAGTTCATCACAGCATGACTGATGACTGCCGTAGGCGTGTGCTGGTGAGTGTTCATCACAGCATGACTGTTGACTGCGGCAGGTGTGTGCTGGTGAGTGTTCATCATAGCATGACTGATGACTGCCGTAGGTGTGTGCTGGTGAGTGTTCATCATAGCATGACTGTTGACTACGGCAGGTGTGTGCTGGTGAGTGTTCATCACAGCATGAATGGTGACTGCGGCAGGTATGTGTTGGTGACGGGGCTTGAACCGTGACTGGCACCCGGGGCTACACTGAGGTGGTCATCTCCTCTATGACGGTGATATTGCGACGGGGGCGGGGGGGAGGCGCTCGCCTCAGTATGGGCGGGCGTGGCACTGGTGGTACATTGTATTCGTGTGTGGGGTGCAGCCGTCTCACACCCACACTGACACTCCCACTACTGCTCACTTGCCCGAGCCTGGCTAAACCCTCGGGCTCACTGAAGCTCACACCACTGGTTTGCCGTAAGCGTCTCCCCGCCGGGTGTATTGGCACTTTGGGCTGCAGTGGTCTGGCTATGGGCTCGTCATCCTCATCCTCGGCATCAAAGTCCATGTTGTCTTGACAGTCATTGAAAAACACATTATCATATTTACAGGAGGAGACACACTCGCCCACATAGTCATAGTAGTGGTCCAACAAACCCTCCTCAGAGATGCACGTAAGGAGCTCTGGCTTGAGCCGCGGCTCCATCACGTCCACTGAGGTCGCAAATGATATAGTTTTCCCCAGTTTGTTGAAGACGTGCGCTTTACTGGGGTCGTGTATCTGGGGGTTGAGAGGTGGCGGAGGTGGAGCACTGGGGTCGGCTCCGCACGTACACACCGGCCCAGCAATCTGGGGTGAGGCTGTTACTGTAGTCTTCGGCACGCCTCCACCGCCACCTCCAACACCACTAGCACCAACTGCACCACCACCACCACCACCGCCACCACCACCTCCCCCATTCTCCAGAGGGAGGGCGTAAGGGTCGTGGGGGACATGGGAGTCAACTGTGGTGAAGGATACACTGGTGTCGTGCTTGGCCATCCGCTCCTTGAAGTAGTTGAGGAGGAAGAGACAAGAGGCGCCCGACAGGAGGAAGAAGCTGGCGAAGAAGTAGCCGGTCTTGGCGGTGCTCTCGTTAATGTAACCTGGGGAGATAATAAGTTGGCTTCTAACTACTTGTAATTCGGACCTAATACACTAATTACTATCGAGTTATAAGTAACATGACCAAGAAACTTTAAACATTAACACTCCTATATACTGTACGGACACCCCCTGGACATACATAAGAACATAAGAAAGTGGGACACTGCAGGAGGCCGACTGGCCCATACAGGGCAGATCCCATTCACACCCATCCCAGCACTTCCATGTGCCTATCCAACTTCGTCTTGAAGCTCCCTAGCGTCCCCAATCCTACTATAGCACTCGGAAGCCTATTCCACATATCCACAACTCTATTACAGTACAGCCTATTACCCTTATCACTCCACACCTACCATAACCCTCAGCTACCATACACTAAAATGTGTCACTACTCCTCAACCATACATTACAATGCACCACTACTTGTCAACCCACAACCCAGGAGCACCACTAACTACCGTCAACATTTACACTACCACCATCTCAGCCACTGGCACTAACAGCTGTGACTTAATGTTTCCACGCACCAGTGATGGGGATGCCGAAGAGGATGGGGAGGGCTGTAGCACCCTGGATGAAGCCCCAGGCACGGGAGAAGTGTCTTGCCCGAACCTTCTCCAGCGTCAGCATCTGGAAGGCGTAGTGAGCACCCCCCAGTAGGAGGCCGTAAAGCCACATGAAGAGCACGTAACCGTAGTAGCCACGCACCGCCGTCAGCGCCAGCATGGTCACACCTGTAGCAGATAAACGTAAGTCTTCGCGTACTAGCACACAAAATCAAGCAATGTTAGTTAACTTGTTCACCTTCACTCACCTTGACAGTCCAGTACTTGGCATGGCATAGTACTGAAATTTTTTTCATTATTGAGAAATAAAATACTATGAAATCTTAACTCAGGCCTTGAGAAACACCTGGCACTGAGAACAACTCACCTGTCACCGTCATCATTACCTATCAGTCATAATTCTCATCGTATATATGTCTTTGAATCCAATAAACACCTTTACCATCAATACAGTTCATTCCTGATTATTTTGTTTTTGATTCTCACAGACGTCTGGCTCCCTCCTTTATTCCTCACATCTCTTGTTCACATCTTCATCTCTCCCTCTTCGTCCACCTCACTCACCAATACACTTGCCTTCACCACTCACCAAAACACCTTCCATCACCACTCACCAATACACCCTCCTTCACCACTCACCAATACACACACTCCTTCACCACTCACCAAAACACCTTCCATCACCACTCACCAATACACCCTCCTTCACCACTCACCAATACACCCTCCTTCACCACTCACCAATACACACTCCTTCACCACTCACCAATACACCTTCCTTCACCACTCACCAATAAACCTTCCTTCACCACTCACCAATACACCTTCCTTCACCACTCACCAATACACCTTCCTTCACCACTCACCAATACACCTTCCTTCACCACTCACCAATACACCCTCCTTCACCACTCACCAATACACCTTCCTTCACCACTCACCAATACACCTTCCTTCACCACTCATCAATACATCCTTCCTTCACCACTTCACCAGCACACCTTCCTTTCACCTTTCACTATTACTACACCTCTTCACTCACTCACCAATACACACACTCCTCTCACCACTCATTAACACACACCTTCCTTCCACCACTCACCACACACACACCTTCACACCACCACACACCTTCCTTCACCACCCACCATCACACCTCCTCTCACCACTACCAATACACACACTCCTTCACCATTAATACACACCTTCCTTCACCACTCATCAATACACCTCCTTCACCACTCACCAACAGCACCTCCTTCACCATCATTAATACACCTTCTTCACCACTCACCAATACACACACCTTCACCACCACATCACACCTTCCTTCACCACTCACCAATACACACACTCCTTCACCACCATTAATAATCTTCCTTCACCACTCACCAACAATACACACACCCTTCACCACCACATCACACACCTTCCTTCACCACTCATCAATACACCTTCCTTCACCACCACCAATACACCTTCCTTCACCACTCATACACCTTCCTTCACCACCTCACCACTTACATACTCCTTCACCACTCTACCTAGCTTAATCTTCCTCTTCACCACTCATTAATACACCTTCCTTCACCACTCACTCAATACACACACCTTCACCACTCATCAATACACTTTCCTTCACCACTACCAATACACCTTCCTTCACCACTATTAATACACTCTTCCTTCACCACTCACCAATACACACACTCCTTCACTCCACTCATTAATACACCTTCCTTCACCACCATCAATACACCCTTCCTTCACCACTCACCAACACACCTTCCTTCACCACTCACTAATACACACACTCCTTCACCAGATTCATTAATACACCTTCTTCACCACTCATTAATACACCTTCCTTCACCACTCACCAATACACCTTCCTTCACCACTCACCAATACACACACTCCTTCACCACTCACCAATACACCTTCCTTCACCACTCATCAATACACCTTCCTTCACCACTCACCAATACACACACTCCTTCACCACTCATCAATACACCTTCCTTCACCACTCACCAATACACCTTATCTGTCTGTCTGGCTATTGATCTTTTCACCTTCTTGTCCAATTTTCTTTCTACCTCAAAAAGCTTCACAAGATCACGGTGATAATAAAAACGAATGGATATATATAGCAGACTACCATATACACTCATACAGGAGGCTTGGGTGTTAAATAACTCAGCCAGCCATGTCCCAAAACAATAGTCCACAGGATATATATGGCGCTATCTGTCGGCTTTTGTTTTATGGCTCGACTATATTTATTTTTGTTTTCATAACTAAATTTTGAGCACCTGAACATTAGACACCCTAGTTTGTTGTACCCGAAGATTAGATACCCCAGCTTATTGTACCTGATGATTAGACACCCCCAGCTTATTGTACCTGATGATTAGACACCCCCAGCTTATTGTACCTGATGATTAGACACCCCCAGCTTATTGTACCTGATGATTAGACACCCCCAGCTTATTGTACCTGATAATTAGACACCCCCAGCTTATTGTACCTGATAATTAGACACCCCCAGCTTATTGTACCTGATGATTAGACACCCCTAGCTTATTGTACATGAAGATTAGACACCCCCAGCTTATTGTACCTGATGATTAGGACACCCCAGCCATTGTAGATTAGACACCCCAACTTATTGTACCTGAAGATTAGACACCCCCAGCTTATTGTACATGAAGATTAGACACCCCCAGCTTATTGTACATGAAGATTAGACACCCCAGCTTATTGTACCTGAAGAATATAACACGTTTATCTTACCTGAAGATCAGATACACTACCTTATTGCACCTGAAGATTAAACACCCGGTACACCCAATAAGCCACACCCAGTAAGCCACACCCGGTCCACCCAATAAGCCACACCAAGTAAGCCACACCCGGTACACCCAATAAGCCACACCAAGTAAGCCACACCCGGTACACCCAATAAGCCACACCCAGTAAGCCACACCCGGTACACCCAATAAGCCACACCCAGTACACCCAATAAGCCACACCAAGTAAGCCACACCCGGTACTAACCCAGACCGTAGATGGAGGCTTGACACAGGTACTGACGAGAGATCATACACTGGGCACTCTGCTTCACCACAATGAGACCGAAGCCAATACAGCCAAGAGCGTAGGCAAACCCGAGGAAAGTCTGCAGCAGGATTAGAGCAGAGTCCTCCAGTCCTTCCCGCTGAGCTCCTAGGATCTGTAGGAACCATACCAGCTGAGTTATATAGTTAGCATCTATCTGGATAACCGGCAATCTAGGTATATATGTATAGTATATCCGGCTATTAGGCTATTCACCTATCTTGTTATCTATCTGGCTATTCTTCTATTATGTTATCTGTATATCCGGCTATGTGTCTGGGTATTTATTTATCTATCTATCTATCTATCTATCTATCTATCTATCTCTCTATCTATCTATAAGATAATTACAAAGCGCATTCAGAATACCAGAACAGTACAGAGGCCAGATACTCACGAGGTAGAAGAGAGGGTTGTAGAGGCCAGATATTCATGATACAGAGGCCAGATACTCACGAGGTAGAAGAGAGGGTTGTAGAGGCCAGATATTCATGATACAGAGGCCAGATACTCACGAGGTAGAAGAGAGGGGTGTAGAGGCCAGATACTCACGAGGTAGAAGAGAGGGTTGTAGAGGCCAGATACTCACGAGGTAGAAGAGAGGGTTGTAGAGGTCAGATACTCACGAGGTAGAAGAGAGGGGTGTAGAGGCCAGATATCACGAGGTAGAAGAGATGAGAGGCCAGATACTCACGAGGTAGAAGAGAGGGGTGTAGAGGCCAGATAGAGGTAGAAGAGAGGGGTTGTAGAGGCCAGATACTCACGAGGTAGAAGAGAGGGTTGTAGAGGTCAGATACTCACGAGGTAGAAGAGAGGGGTGTAGAGGCCAACGGAGGTCACAGCTGCCGTCGTTATTAGCACCTGCACTGAACGGAACTTGAGGCAGCTGAGGTCAAAGTAGGGCGGCTTGTCCGAGTCTATTTTGTGTTTATCTTTCACTTGCTGTAGGAAAAGAGAGGTCACAGAAGGTTATTGGAGGTCACATGAGGTTATTAGAGGTCACGTGAGGTTATTGGAGGTCACAGGAGGTTATTAGAGGTCACAGGAGGTTATTGGAGGTAACAGGAGGTTACTGGATGTCACGTGAAGTTATTGGAGGTCACATGAGGCTATTGGAGGTCACGGGAGGTTATTAGAGGTCACAGGAGGTTATTGGAGGTCACAGGAGATTACTGGAGGTTACACACACACCTTTATGACAACGAAAAAATTAAATCATCAATAACTTAGTCAACAACCTCAGTGCTCACTTAACTTAACCTAACCTAACAAACTCAGTCCTAATCTAACCCTCTCTATCCTAACCTAACCAAAACTCAGTCCTAACCTAACAAACTCAATCCTAATCTAACCCTTTTTAACCTAACTAAACCAAACACACTCAGTCCTAACCTAATCTAACCTAACAAATCAGTCCTAACCTAACAAACTCAATCCTAATCTAACCCTTTTTAACCTAACTAAACCAAACACACTCAGTCCTAACCTAATCTAACCTAACAAATCTCCTCACTAATCTTCACACATAGTAAAAATTCAAAGCCAATTACAGCGCAGGAAAAATCACAGTAAACAGGTGATTTATTCTTTATGACAGTGATTTATATTTTGTTCAATGACATACAGTACTCCACTAGGGTCAGATATATGTAATTAGTGAGTGGACAGTGACGTATTAGTGGGCAGTGACGGTATTAGTGGACAGTGACGGTACTAGTGGACAGTGACGGTACTAGTGGACAGTGACGGTACTAGTGGACAGTGACGGTACTAGTGGACAGTGACGGTATTAGGGGGCAGGAAGGTACTAGTGGATAGTGACGGTATTAGAGGGCAGTGACGGTACTCGTGGACAGTGACGGTACCAGTGGAGAGTGATAGTTTGAGGTGTAACAGTGACATAATGAATTATGACAGTGACAGCAGACAGTGACATCATCAATTATGAGTGACAAAAGACAGTAGACAGTGACATCATGAAGTATAACAATGACAATAAACAGTGACATCATGAAGTATAATATTGACAGTAGACAGTGACATCATGAAGTATAACAATGACAATAAACAGTGGCATCATGAAGCATAATATTGACAGTAGACAGTGACATCATGAAGTATAATAGTGACAAAAACAGTGACAGTAGACAGGGATAGTAGAGTGACAAAGTCAGTTATACAGTGACAGTAAACAGTGACAGCAGACAGTGACAGTAGACAGTCACAGTAATATTACCTTTCTCTTCTGGTTCTTGAGGTGCAGGATAGCGCGTCTTTGTGGGTGGTAGAGGGAGGCCGACCTGTAGAAGATGCCCAAGAAGAAGGTCGTGAAGACCACACCAGTCACAGCCTGTAGTCCCAGTCTCCAGCCTACCGACCTGCAGGAGGAAATAAGACTCGTATAAAGACCTGGCCTGTAATTACTGTTTCCGGCCTACCAACCTGCAGAAGATAATAAGACTCGTATGGAAACCTAACCTGTAATCACTGTCTCTATCCTGCTAACCTGCACTTACTGTCCCCAACCTGCTAACCTGTACTCAGGATAAAAAGAACAGTAAGACAGACCAACTGAGATATAACAGTTTAAGATTGACTGCGGGGGGTAACATGTACGTCTTGGAGCTAGATATCTTAGGCTCTTCGTGAGTCTTAGCTGTGATGGGAACCAATTTATCCATGAGACTCAAGAGGCAATATGGTTTAGAGACTTCAATTTACCTTCCCAGACCATTGAAACCAGAGTGGTAGGCTCCTTGTCTAGGTTAAAAAAAAACAATATTCTCATAGCAATGTTGAATTCAGAGGGAAGGTAACTTTTTTTAATCAATTTTGTTTGAACCTCCGGGAAGCTTTATTCAACTTAGTATATAGGATAAAAGAAAATTAATAACATCATAAGAACTATTATTGTATTAACTAGTTCATTCAGGTGTGAAGGATGATGATGATGATAGTAGAATGATATTACTTTTAACTCTAACTCACTGGAAAAAGATAGCAGGAATGATGTGAGTATAATGTTCTCAGTAATTACTTGCCTTCACTCATCATTCTTCTTACTTTTGTAATTTAATCTTTTTATTAGGACTATTGGTAAACAGTGAAGTGCAGTTACGTTCTAAGTTACAGGAAGACAGAGTTATAAATCTTTTAGTCATACACAAATAAGTTGGAGGAATACCACAGATTAATATTTTTGGCATAATATTAGTAACAAGACTTAAAAATTGTACATTTATACCATATTTTAATTGTTTTACCTCATGTTGTGGGAAATTGCAACCTAACCTAACCTACTTTCATTATTTTACTAGATGTTTCAGTATTAGTTGACCGAGTAGTTCATAATTCAAATTCATCTCCAACTCACTACGTCCAAAATAATACCTTGTTAACATTAATGGAACCTTGCCTTCTGCAGAGGTAAACCCGATCTCCTTTTCACCCCCATCGTTCTTGGGAAACCTGTGAACGTTAATATTCCTCCTTGTGTCTGTAGCCTGAGCAGCAACCGTACACTATACAATTACTGGGTAAGGTCTCACATGCTTAAAATTACATTCTAATCATCGCAATTGCAATCACGTATTAAGAAAATAAATGAAACACGTGTATGTCTGTATATACTTTCAATGTGTACTGAGTTAGATCAAGGGGGCGTGTGATATCATGCGCGTGAGTGGTCGCGTTATTTTTTTTCCACAGGTGAGCAGATCTTGTATTCTTTAGACCTTGCCTTAACCAATCATCTGCAAGGTGAATGATCTGTCGACTGAGCTACCAAGCCATTACAAAAGTAGTTAACTAAATCAGCAATACAAAACCCACACTGCTGCTTAAGGGGGAAACAAGCATTAAGTTACAGTAAACACAACCCCCCCACAGTCTTGGTTGAGGGGAAAACTAGCAGTGAGTTACAGTGAACACAACCCCCCCACAGCCTTGGTTGAGGGGAAAACTAGCAGTGAGTTACAGTGAACACAACCCCCCCACAGCCTTGGTTGAGGGGAAAACTAGCAGTGAGTTACAGTGAACACAACCCCCACAGCCTTGGTTGAGGGAAAACTAGCAGTGAGTTACAGTGAACACAACCCCCCCACAGCCTTGGTTGAGGGGAAAACTAGCAGTGAGTTACAGTGAACACAACCCCCCCACAGCCTTGGTTGAGGGGAAAACTAGCAGTGAGTTACAGTGAACACAACCCCTCACGTTCCTGACTGAGGTGAAGGCCAGCAGTGAAATACGAGATGAGGGGAGGTTGAAGGGGAGGCAGGGGATGGCAGCTGGAACTGAAATATGTGAAGAGAAATGAAATTTTTTCCGTTGTGATAAAACGATGGCGAATAATTGGACGAGTTAATTACATCAAGAGGGGGGGGGGGGGGCATTACGATAATAATTATAAAACTAGATCATAATAATAATAATCTTAATAATAATAATAATAAGAAGAAGAAGAAGAATGAGTATGATTATGATGCTCCTCCTGATGATGACGATATTATGTTTACGTTGTTTGTGTTGGTGATAATAATAATAATAATAATAATAATAATAATAATAATAATAATAATAATAATAATAATAATAATAATAGTAGAGATGATGATTAAAATGTCATCTCAGCAGACACACATCCTACCTGGGAACCGTTACCATGGCAGGGTGAATATCAAAGTAGTGAAGCTTTAACTATAAATTAATGTAGTAACCGCTGGGGCCTCACTCATGTCATCGTTTTCTTTAACCTTCCATCTCTCACCACTGTGGGAACCGTTACCATGGCAATAGTTGGTGATTTTTTGCGTAATTTATATTAAAATATGGTCATTTGATCCTCGTCACATGTTGAGCGGGCCGATGAAGTTTAGTTTAAATCCCACAATTCCTTTTCGAGTTATTTTAGGGATACACAAACAGACGGAGAGACAGGACCGAAAATATTACCCTGTCCCACAGTTGCAGGCAGAGCAATAACAATAATTGGAATAAAGAGAGTTTGTATTGTTGACTCAGGACCTTCTAGTGTTGCAGATATCAACTTTTCCACCTCAGAGTTCTACACAACACAATACTTTACGTCAAGGAACATCCCGGGAATACGAGTCCATCCGACCAAGTTGTCAAATCATCAGGCAAATTGAGATAATTTAGTTTTGTACACCCACAATCAACGTTTCAGTTTCTATAGCTGTTTTCACTTCGTCGAGCGGCGTCACGTACATTATTTATGCTATAATACCACAGGAGAACACGAGACCGTCTGACAATGAAGATCTTTGTCGGTGAACAGCTGCTCACAGTAGCGAGATAGAACACGCTATCAGAGAAGCTTCCGTGACCCTTCTCCTAGACAAACTCTACGAACAACTATGACCGAGGCGGATAAGAAAGTTGCAGACCGCGCCAAGAATATCTGTATGAGGGGAGAGATGATGCATCTTATAATTTTGGTGATCACCGCTAGGAGGGCGCCACAGCTTTATGTTGGATCATATGAAAATGTTTCTTGGTGAAGAACTGATGCTGTTGTGTACATATGATGAAATATGCGCAAATATGATGAACTGGCGAGTGGCGTCAAGAGTAAAACTTCTAAGCATAGACCAGTTGACACAGTGTATATAGTATGCTTTCCAGTTTGTTGTTCATGCAATGACTGTCCCAGGTGTCGAGAATCAGCAATGTTATACGAAACATAAAATTCCCGAATAAGGACTATACTGCTCATCAAACTTATCTTGCCCTCTGTAATTATTTCAAACAGTGATAATGTATTTCTTGGTGTTCAGGAAAACAGGGAATGTCTTGCTCATTGCTATATACTGAATATATAAACTACAATTATATACAACTCAATGGGGGATCAGTGGTAAGAGTCACTGTGATCCCCAGACAAGACAACTTTCCTGATACAAATGTCTTGGTTCCGCTGGTCCATCAAAAATTTTCTAGGATTTTTCCAAGTGTCGTACTGTGTGACGCAGCGAGTGCACTAGATGCAAATAGAAAATTATCTGCCTTCAAGTCACTCCAAGAGAAGGTCGAGGGATTCCAAGAATTCGTTCCTCGTGTTACCAGACCTTTTATCAACAACAAAGAGACTCAGAGTGTAAAAAGGTTTATTGGAGCTGTATGGTGAGGTTGACTGTAAATCACCCAATCTCCTGAGGCGTTAAAAAGACCTCGGCCAAAGTTGGTTTAAGAAAGTTACTACAGACACTTGCTTTGTGGATGTCATTTAGCTATAGACGAGGAAAGTTCGTGCCCAGGACAACTGGCAGATGAAAAAAAGTAAATGTTTTAATCATTATACCTGAGAAGTTCTCTATAACTATTCTCGTGACTCTGATCAGTGCTCATTGTTTAAAGTGCATCTAAGGTTATAGTGAACATAAACATCAACACTTTAGTGTACATTTTCTAAAACATAATTTATTGTAAGACTTACTAATATTATCTAAAAAAAGCTTTGTTTCCACATGAAATATATCCTTTACACCAACTAAACTATTGGGTAGCGTTTCTAAGCCACTATAAGTCGACCTAGTCATATATATATATATATATATATATATATATATATATATATATATATATATATATATATATATATATATATATATATATATATATATATATATATATATATATATATATATATATATATATATAACAAACTGTATGTGCTTCACAACACGTGTTTGTGATGACGGTGTATACAGTAAGATCAACACCTCGACCTGGCTGTAACAAGCAACTTCAGTCTCGTAAGCTTCTGGTGGCTGAAGCAATATATACCATAGTACACAATGTATAGTAATGCCACTATTGGCTCCTCGAGATCTAGAACAGCTGCCACTTGTAAACTGCAGCAGTAGGTGTGTCCTGATGATAAATTAAGAGAATAAATTTAAACCTGGTTAAGGGTCCCAAGTCATCTATCAGTCACTCGTCATCGTCTACAACGCCCGAGGAATACTATTGGTCTACATTACAATCCCGGACCACACCCACGTGAACTGACCACACCCACGGGAAACTGACCGCACCCACCACTTGACCACAGACTGACCACACCCACGGGAAACTGACCACACCCACGGGAAACTGACCACACCCGCGGGAAACTGACTACACCCGCGGGAAAGTGACCACACACGCGGAGAACTGACCACACCCGCAGAGAACTGACCACACCCACGGAGAACTGACCACACCCACGTGGAACTGAGTAAGACAGGCGTCACAAAACACACAAACAATGAAAACAAAATCCTGATATTCTCCTTCCTGGTTTTAGAACCAAGTTGGATGACGAAGAATCTCGGTCAAATGTCTTGTTACCAAGTGACTCAAGTCTCTACAACTTTTA